TGGTCAATTTTACAGCCACATCATAATCATTTTATAGAATGTTCACTTTGTCTGGTTTTGTTGTAGTCTGCCCCATTACCATGTAACATTTAGAAAAATGCCATGCTGATTTCAAAATGGTGAATAATAAATAATATGAGAAGTCCTCACCTCTTCTTATCATTTGGTTATAGTACAATCAGTAAACTCTTTATCACATGTCAAGTACACATAAAATCTACAACCCAAGACTGAATCTACTACATATCTTCCTATCCTTTTATATATATGTGCCCACCATTTACAGTAACTTCTTCAACCTTGTCAACCTCAACCTGATCACATGCATGGATTAGCATGATCACCATACTAATACAGTTAAATGCCAGCCATACAACCTTTTAATGAATGTTTTGAGCTGAAATTGTGATGACAAAACAATATGATTAACCTACAAAAGATTTAGCCTATACTTTCTTCTTTTTTGAAGAATTTTTTTGAGGAGTTAACATGACTGGTGGTAAACAAAATAAGGAAGGTGGATCCTTTCGCTTAACACCAGAGCACAAAATTGCTGTTCTCTCTTTGTTCAGATTAACCAATTTCATCTTGGTAGCATCCAGCTTTTGCAAAAACCCTAACATGGCACAATAGGCAATCTTGACATTGCACATGTCCATGTTTGATGAAGGCAGTGGTGCCTCACAGACAAGCATAAGATGAAACAAGCCACCAGCTGCAGCAAGTGCATAATAATAAATGCATATTGTATATGCTGGAATTGTTTGTGCAAATAAGTCAATAAATTAATGAAGCAAACCACATCAAATCCAAACTAACTCTTACCTACAACTGTGAATCCCCACACAACTAAAGAGCTTGCATTAACTATAACCTCCTTCAGCATGTCTTGAGCCAGAACCCATATATCATGTAGCTCCCACCCAAGTTTGAGAGTGTAAGTGTCCATCCACCCTTTAGCACATGTGCACTTTGGAAGGCCACCTGACACTTCACCACATCCAACATCAGGTCACCAGTGAAGACCAAGCAGCTTGATGTGCACATCAACTTTATACCCCATTCTTGCTCACTCTGTGGGGTCTCTACCCTTATTATGATGAATCACTGTGGCATGAAGTGCACTTTCAAAGCTAACAAAGTTTTTTTGAACAAATGAATTGGTATCATGATCAATAGAAAATTATTTTTAACTTACTAATGAACACGGTAGTGTGGCACCCCACTGAATGTTGCATCAATGAATGGCACTATGTTCTGCATGATATGTTCATATTCTGACATTTGATCCTTGTTTGAACAACTCACTGAATCATCACTGAAATACATAGATAGGCACAGCAATCAGCTATGTAAATCATTTGTAAGCCATGCAATCACAATACAACAACATACTAATACATCCTGTCAACAAGCTTCTTCAAAATTCGTTCTTCAGATGTGCATGCACAAACATCTTGAAGGTCTTTTGCCTATTGAAAACATACGAGTAATTTCATAATGCATCCATGTGTAATGCTAAAATTACATACCATAAGTAGTCTATCAAAAAAGTTATTCTGATCAGCTGATAACTTTGGCATGACAAAGTTGACATTGGGAAGTGATTTGCACATTGATGACATATAACTTCCAATTAGCTCTGAAGTTGGTCCATGTTGACCTGAGTGGTCAACAATAAAATAGTATAGTGGGCTATAGAAAGGTTTATATTATAATTATCAATCAAAACTCTTACTGTAGTAAGAAGCAATTAATATAAATATGAACTCACTTATATAAACATCATGTCTTCAGTATTTTTGATCAGTAATCATCTACTAGTGCCTGTACTGCTGCCCATTCATCAGAAGTCAGAGCTTGACCAATGGCATCTTCAGTTATATGGGGCAGACTGCAACAAAACCAGACAAAGTGAACATTCTATAAAATGAGAGGCTGATTATTATGTGGCTGTAA